AACATTATGCTGACCAAAGGAGAAGAACTATTTCCCATTACAAAGAGGGATATCGAGTGATGGTGGATACGCATCCAATTAGCAAAGCCAAAGATGCCTATACTTCAAAATTTACTCCACCACGTGATGGTCCATATGAAGTTACGAAGGTTGTCACTCAACAACAATTGAAGTTAAACCTATAGAGCCAACTGAAGGTCCCACCATCAAATTACATACGTCAGCTATGGCACCTCTTGTGGGAAAAGGAGAAGTTCCAACACCAGTACGACCTATACGCCCACGTGGAAGACCCATGAGAAGACGCTTTATTGAAACTGATAATATACTCGAAGATAACGAGGCCGTTCCTCAGAAAAACACAGATGTACTGCATGCTGATGACAATGAAAGTTCTAACGAAGAAAAAAATTAAAATGATGATGAGCCCAGATTAGATGGACGATCCAGACACCGCATTAAAGCTCCAACTTGTTTATGTGGCGATTATACATCAAAAATTGACTTGGAGTATCCCCGAGGACGTAGGGGAACTCCAAAAGGGGAGATTGTAACCATTAAGACACCAAAGCACCCTCTACCTCGGTAGAAAACACCCAATGACACCGGTTCATGACCAGTCGCGAAAAAATATTTAAAACGGATTGTCATAGAAAGCGTCAGCGTTGTCAACACGTATTTTCTACTTCAGAAATCTTTATTGCTATATTTTTGCCTTTTGTTCAATTAGTACAGTATTTTGAAATAAATATTCGGGAATTTAGTTAATCAACGTGTACCGTATTATATTTTTTCTCAGTGCACTCCTGATCAAAACACCCCAGTTAAAGTAGTATTTTGCTTATTTTATGTTTGTATTCTATTTAATTGTTTGTTTTATTTAAATTTAATCGTTTTTTTTTGTTCTTTTCTTTATTTTTAATTTTGACACGTCATTATGCTTAAGTTTTGCGGCTCTATTTACCATTTTATTTATTAGTTCTTTTTATTATTTTGACAATTGATAATTTTGTTTATATTGTATATGATTTGTCAACGAGACTATTGATTGTAGGGCAATAATAGCTATTTATACAGGGTGGCCAATTGAAAACGAAACAGAGGTGATTTTGGGCTCCCCAAGACATTTAAGAAAAAACCCTCTTACCCGTCGATTTTTGATTTAAGGGGGAACCATTTTTTTAGCATTTTTACCACCTGGGGGGCAAAGCCCTAGCGGAGGTGACAAGGGCCCCCAAAATTTTAAATGGAATGAGGGGTCGAGTGATACCTTATTTTGAAGCTATTTTTATGTAGATTATAACCCCCAAGTTTTACATCGCTACTATCTACCTAGCCATTATAGGGGCTAATTAAAGCTACAAAAACATGTTGGGGTATTTTGTATTTAAAAAAATGCTCCAAAAACAAAATCAATCAAATAAATGCTGAAAATGACCACAGAAGCAAAAATCTAACGGGCTTGAATCTGGAGAACGGGGGGAGTCACTCAATAGCTCCTCTCCTTCGAATCCATTGTCCTGGAAAAGTTTGGTCCAAATATTGACGAACCACTGCAACATAGTGGGATGGCGCACCATCTTGTTGGAATATTAAACGGTTTTCCATGTATCTGTTATCATTCTCTAGTATCTCCACCAATTCTGGATGAATCGCATCTTCTAATCACTCTAGGTACATTTCTCCTGTCAAATTTATAGGTAAAGAAGGGGCCACGGTTACCAAAAATGCTAGTCCAAACACTCAATTTTTTGGGAGTTGCGTATGCACCTCAAAAAATATGTTTTCTGGGATTTGAATTAGCCGAATAGCGGCAGTTGTGACGATTCACCGTACCGTTTAAGAAAAAAGAGCATTCGTCAGAGAAATATGCATTGAAATTGAACTGCTGCTCCATTTATTGGAAAAAAAAATGTCGGTTATGAGTTTTTCAATGGTGAGAGAGGAGGAAATAAAACGAAAAAACGGGTTAGTAGCACATCAACTAAAATGCCATTCAATTATACTCCATTATTTATTACAATTATGGCCGGTTTATACAGCATTTGCATAGTCATAATCATAATCATAGTCTTAGTCATGAGAGTTAAAATAATATTTTCTTATGGAACCGTTTATACACAAATCATAATCATAAGCATAAGTATAACTCAAAGTTGGCAACTTTCAACCAAGCTTCCACATGTCTTTGAATAATGTGGCAAAATACCCTTCCTTCTGCATTCCTTTATTGATGGGCATCACTTTCCACCTTCTTTGTCTATGGTTTGCATTTGTTGAAGTTGTTTATTAAATGCCACAGCCATAAGTGAAGCAAAGCTCAAAAATAAATAGGACAGACCTATTACGTATAATTTCTTTCGCAGAATTTTAATTTTCACACTTTTTGAAACTTCGAAAAAGTAAATACACTTAGTTTGATTCGCAAAAAGTGAACAAACTCTCTCTACAAAAAGTTGGGTTGAGTGTTATATTTACGTAAAGTTATGATGTTGTGTAAACGCGTTCATAATTGTGCTTATGATTAAGAATGTGATTATGACTATGATTATAATTATGACAATGCAAATGTTGTATAAACCCGCCATTAGATATCAAAAAATTGTGATGCCTGGTCCCTCGATAATTTAAAAACATATGAAATTTGGTTAACTGTCAGTTAAATAAATGCTGAAATTGACCACCACCCACTTCCATACAGAAATAAAGATTCTGTTCAAAACGCTCCTGCACATTTCGAAGCATTTGTGGACTGATTTGACGACACTCATTGATTATCCGATCTCGTAAATTTTCGTGGAGAGGAGCTATTGTGTGGTCCCCACGTTCTCCAGATTTAGGCCCGTTAGATTTTTTCTTCTGTGGTCATTTTCAGCATTTACTTGATTGATTTTGTTTTCAAAGCATTTTTTTAAATACAAAATATCCCAACATGTTTTTGTAGCTTCAATTAGCCCCTGTAATGGCTAGGTAGATAGTAGCGATGTAAGACTCGGGGGTTATAATCTACATAAAAATAGCTTCAAAATAAGGTATCACTCGACCCTTCATTGCATTTGAAATTTTTGGGGCCCTTGTCACTCCCGCTAGGGCTTTGCCCCCCAGGGGGTGAAAATGGCAAAAAAATGGTTCCCCCTTAAATCAAAAATCGACGGGTACGAGGGTTTTTTCCTAAATCTCTTGGGGAGCCTAAAATCACCTCTGTTTCGTTTTCAATTGGCCACCCTGTATAACAAGTACATAAAGTAAGACTTTATTGTACGAATAATTTTATGGCCGAGCGAGCTTGCGAGCGAGGCTATTAAATAATGAGTCAATAAAGCCTGTTTATGTAAGCGTTATATACATGACTAGCTGACCCGGCGAACTTCGTACCGCCTCTGAATTATCAAATATCTCTGAATTAAATACCTATTAAATGTTGTGTTAACGTATGTGATAAATGAAGAACCGCTCGACCGATTTTGTGCAAACTTCACATAAACCATCTAATAAATAGTCCGAACAAAGCCTAAACATTTGGTTTGGCTAGGTGAGCCCATTCTTGAGTTATAAAATTACAACGAAAAGTGGCATTAATTTTTATATACCGGGTGACAATGAAACTACTACCCACGGCGGCATTTCTTAACGGCTCAAGATAGAAATATGCAATTTCGTATGTCGATAGGGTTGAAAATTTTGAACAATTTCAATATAAAAACAATTGAATATCTTTTCCGGTTTCACCGGAAGTGGCCTTGACTTTGTTATTTCAAATGGGACACCCTGTATATTATATTTTTTTTGGACTCTCTCAACAATTCTAAATAACTTTTGTGTTACATACCCTATGTCAAAAATTGATATTTTTTGAAATAGAGTGGCTCAAAAATATGTCGTAATCCCTATTTGTTTGTATTTTATGCAAAAACTGAGTATGCCAGAACAAAAAAAATCATGGTTATTTGCTCCTTATTCAAAGAGGTATCCGATAAATAATTAAAGAGAAGAATTAATGCAAGTTAAGAAAAACGCGTTTTTCGAAAATGAATGTTTCAGTTTTTGATCGGACCCTGTACGAAACTGGTTCATCTTATGGAAATGAAACTTCCACTACCCAATCCTACTTTTTTATCCTTTATTCAAATATGACAAATTCAACCTTCATAGATACCTGCAAAATTAAAAATTTGATAACCCATTTTCAAGTTGTCACTTCACTCATTTAATTACATATACCTACGTACATTACGGCTATATTTCAAAAACTATCAATTTTTAACATGGGGTATTCATACAAAAGTTATTTAGAATTGTTCAAAGAGTCCAAAAAAAAGATAATATACAGGGTGTCCCATTTGAAATAACAAAGTCAAGGCCATTTCCGGTGAAACCGGAAAAGATATTCAATTGTTTTTATATTAAAATTGTTCACAATTTTCAACCCTATCAACAAACCGAGTTGCATATTTCTATATCGAGCCGTTAAGAAATGGCGACATGGGTAGTAGTTTCATTGTCACCCGGCATATAGATTTTGTGAGCGATTGCGACTGGTTTTTATTAAAAATTAAAAAAATTGAATGAAAAAATTAAAATTCGAGTATACCTGTTTCACCTTGCCAGGTTGTCAGGTAGTCCAGGTAGGCAATAAAGTAGCACTTTATTTTACAGTAAAATAAGGTGCTAGTTTATTGATGCAAAACTGTTCTATAAAGAGCACTTTATTAGTCAATCGGACATAGAGCTTATTTTGAATTCGAATTTGAAATAAACAAGAAATTCCCAACTAGGTTTGATTATTGATTATTGCAAATGCGGAATACCTACCCAAGCAATTTCCTGTAAACGAGAGTTAAGCCCAAATCTATAAATTTAGAAACAACGAAGTTCTCGATACTATCTGAACATCTTTCCATGTGATGAAAGAATCAATTCCAATTTAAACCCCCTATCCGAGCGAAATAAAATCATAATAATTGGTTCAGATTAGATATCTTTATTTGTCCCATACTTACTGTGCTTTCCTCTTCCAATATGACTGAGAGTATTATCGGCGTCACCGATCGTGATACGGTACATTTTATCCAATTTCGTTTTGCTTTCGGCCAAAGCAATATGGACCGGACCCAAGTTTTTCGATTTCGTTGCTTTCACTTCGACGATCATGCTCTCGTGATTTCTCGGTGCTTGAATCCACTCATATCGGTAGCTGTCCGTTGTTGAAACTACTAGGTGCTCTAGTGAAGAAAAAAAACAATAAAATTCAGCAATATAAAAGTATTTTAAAGTGATGATATGTTAACACCGGTTGACAAAACTGTGGATAAAAATTGCTTTGATTAAGTTGCTGAAGTTGCGTTGCACGAAATCTTTGGATTCTAGAGTGATGTGCTCACTTAAACTTATCTTTACTGATTATATGCCACCTGGGTATGATGGGTAATACGAATTACTTGCCAACTACACACATCTACACGGCTCAGTTTGATTGATTATTCTGGATAAATTATCCAAAGTGAATAATAGCTCAAGATTCTTAACTAAAGGCGCATTTACATGGTTCAGTTAATTTATTTTTGCACAAATACATGTAGGTTTCTACAAATACACGTAAAAACATATAAATATTAAATGGGCTTAATAGCAACTTTTTGTGATATGATTAGCATGCGTTATGGAGGCTGTTTAGAGTGAATACCTACTTATTAAACTCTGACTATATGTTGTAAATACACCAAAGTACCTACGTTTTGTAGATAAAATGATTCATCCATCTATCTTAATTAAAATGATAAAAAGCCAAATGTGTTAGCTATGATGCTATCATATCGTTAAACTAAAACCATTGAAAACTTTTTATGATCAAACTCGCATAAAAATTTCACATTAAACACAGTTTTATTCACATTTCCATTCACGTAAAAATCCATTTCGCAAACAAACAGGAAATATTACTATTGAAACTACCTACTAAAAGATATTTACCATTGGCGCAAAAATAAGTGCTTTCGGTGTGCGTCTTTTCTCTACCCTCCACATAAACTTCCAAAGTTGCCGAATGGATTACCGCTCCCGACAAAGTTGTATTGTTTACGTTCTCGAGACCTTCGCAAGTTGCGCTGGCGTATCCGTTAACTTCAACTGAAAAAGATAAAGATAACATTTTGATACATTAAAGGATTAAACATGTTTACTGCCATTATAGATCTTGCTTTCCAGTTCAATGTAAGAATTATACAAACTAGAGCATTTCATATACACAAAGTAACCTGAATGTTATTTTCCTTCTTTTCTGAAATAACCTATTTTTTCAATTATAATAATAAGTATTTGATGTTCGTCCATCGATTGCTTAGCAATAGCTTCGAAAATATATGAATATGGAAACTAATCGATTTTCTTCTTAACTTATTCTGCAATAAACTGAAGTGCAAGTCATGCATACTCTTTATTATTTCAATCCCTACATGGAACTTTGTGAACTCATAAACTAGAAAATTGTGAATAAATGTAGATAATGACTACCGGAATAACATCTTCCAGTTTCTAATTGATTTCCATCACCTATTTGGTTTGGCAGACTTGCTTCTTTCGTTCAGTGTATGAGAAAGTAACGGTATTTATTTATTTATTTATTCATAAGTTCTAGCTTATAGCTAATAATTAGTATATTGTGATGGCAAACTGTTAAACTGCACAAATCCATTATGGAATAAATCATTTTGACTGTAACTATTTAATACTCTGTTTAAATAGAAGTCATCCCTTGCACGAGAGTGATAACTATGTATATCAGCAACACGATATGTGTGTTTCTTGATAAGAGTGTTCTGGGTATAAACCTTTTTTTAATCTATATACAAAAGTTCGTGTTTAAAAAAACTACCAGCCTTACACTCAGGAGACCTGTTGTGTCTAACACTGAACTTATAGGTATTAGTGTAACACCTAGCCTGGTTTTGCTTTTCCTGCAGTGTGGTTGTTCCAGTGTTGTTCAGTAGATACAGAATTGTTGTGCAGTTGTTGAAGTGAGGTAAGATTATTACTTTATATAATGTCAATTTTGACCATTGGCCTAGGTATTAATTCATTCTCCCTAATAGGTTTGTTTTCTTTGCTATTTTCTTTGTTATTTATTCAACATGAGGGGAGAAAATTAAATTTTCATCCATTATAACACCTAAATATTTATACTGTTCTAACTGTTCGAGTTTGTTTTTGTTGACAAATATTCCATTATGACTCTTGGTTTGCACTGAACTGTATCTACTTATTATCATACATTTTGTTTTTTCTATGCCCAGACTCAAACCGTTTTTTACCAAACATCAATAGTGTTACGCAATGCTCTTCTGCGCTCCTCTCTTGGCGCACGATGACGATTGACGACGCGGAAGTAGCACCCGGATCGGAACAAAGCACGAAACGGTCGGCAGTCTACGCGAGTCACTCGACGGGCCCGACGGGGGTTGTATTTCTCTCGAGCGGCATCAACAGGCGATCTATGTAAGCCGGGTTCTCACTAGGCCATTTCATAGATCCTTATTATTGAATCTATAGAATGGAATGGAAAATTTGTTCACATTTTCCAATAACATTGAAGATCTAGTGTGTTTTAACAATGGCTGCAAAGAGGAAAATTCTGCGTGCCGGTGTTCGTATTTTCTGTGAGTATTTGAAAACCGCGATAAAAAAGAGGAAAAATAGAAAACTTCGTCGTTGGTCGGTTAGACTGTGGATAAAACAACGTATATATGAAGGTGCTTCTGTAAACCTGATAAAAGAATGGGGTACAGATGACCAGGATGCTTATGGGAACCACTTAAGAATGACCGAAGAGAAATTTGAAGAACTTCTACAGAAAGTGTCAATCTAGATACAGAAAAAAAATACTCCATTAAGGGACGCTCTTCCAGCAAGACTCAAATTACAATTAGTTTTAAGATATTTAGCTACTAGATATTCTTTTCCGTCTTTGGGTGCACTGTACCGACTACCCAAAAACACTATCTCACAAAAATTTTAAATGTAACGAGCGGTTCGGTTTTGATTCTAACCTCAAAATAGTCAAAATAGACACACCGGCAGTTCAATGCGGCTGAACACGCTCGTTCTCACGGTCAATTACCGTTCAATTTAATTGAATCAATCCCGTTGATCCATGAAAAGTAGAAATGCCTTCCAATTTGATTGAAACACAAAATCATTGAGCAATATCATTGAATGGATGTTCACATTAATCTAATTTACTTCATTGGCATAGATTCAATGATATTGATCTATAAAATGGCCTAGTCAGAACCCCGCTTTAGCCGGGTTCTCACTAGGCCATTTCATGGAGCAGTATTATTGAATCTATAGGATTGAACATAAAATGGAATGGAAAATTTGTTCACAATTTCCAATAACATTGAAGATCTAGTGTGTTTTAAAAATGGCTGCAAAGTGGAAAATTCTGCGTACCGGTGTTCCTATTTTCTGTGAGTATTTAAAAACCGCGATAAAAAACAGGAAAAATAGAAAACTTCGTCGATGGTGGGTTAGACCATAGATAAAACAACGTATATATGAAGGTGCTTCTGTGAAACTGATAAGAGAATGGGGAACAGGTGATCAGGATGCTTATAGGAACCACTCAAGAATGAGCGAAGAGAAATTTGAAGAACTTCTACAGAAAGTGTCCCCCTGGACACAGAAAGAAAATCCTACATTAAGGGACGCTCTTTCAGCAAGACTCAAATTACAATTAGTTTTAAGATATTTAGCTACTGGAGATTCTTTTTCGTCTTTGGGTGCACTGTACCGTCTGCCCAAAAACACTATCTCACAAAAAATTTAAATGTAACGATCGGTTCGGTTTTGATTCTAATCTCAAAATAGTTAAAATAGACACCGGCAGTTCAATGCGGCTGAACACGCTCGTTCTCACGGTCAACTACCGTTCAATTTAATTGAATCAATCCCGTTGATGCATTAAAAGTAGAAATGCCTTCCAATTTGATTGAAACACAAAATCAGTGAGCAATATCATTGAATGGATGTTCACATTAGTCTATGTTACTTCAATGGCATAGATTCAATGATATTGATCTATGAAATGGTCTAGTGAGAACCCCGCTTTAGCGGAGCACAATAGATTCTATATTATTGATTCAATAAAATTTACTTTTGATAACCGACCGTCTACTTAATTAACAATAGGTATAATACTCTGAGTTTCTTATTCACAGTGTCTACAATCTCATCAACCGAGTCCCCTAGTATGTATAATAGCGTGTCATCCGCAAATAGTTGTATTGCATTTGCTCAAAATCTTAACAATATCATTTATGTATAGTATGAACAAATTGATAGGGCCTAAAATCGTCCCCTGAGGTACACCGAATAAAACATCAGATTGTGTTGATTTTTTGTTCATGGATACAGTCTCCTGAGGTCTTCCCGTGTAACGTTTAAAGTTACTTGTTTTTTTTTTTCTTCTTTCAAATTTAACTAAATATAATCCTTTTAAATGTTGACGAACATTTAAAATTACAGGGTTCCCACTATTTATTATATAGCAAATATTAAATTATTACACTAGAGGGCGTAATTGTCTTTTAAATTTGACACCCGGCTAGTACCAACAATTCCCGTTGGCTATCTCGAGAGGAAGCGCTGTATTTGTGCTTACCTGCCCCGTGGGAAATTGATTCTCGCCCCTTTGAAATTGTCTCGTTGAACAGTACGGTTGACTGAAAGTGCTCATCAAATAAAATATCTTTATTTTCTACTTTACTATTATAGATCCATAATACCTAGGAAACGAAATACGTTAACACACCTATAACAACCTGATCCATAACGCCCGCTTTTGCGGGCGTTATGATCTATAACGCCCGCTTATAATACCTTAAGGTGTTTTTGTTGTTGTTGTTCTATTAATTTGCACTTTACCCTAGGCAGCCACTAAATGTCTGACCGAAAATAATTTTCGGTCTAGCCAGGATTCGAACCCGGTCTACCATCAATTTTTCCCATGTAGTCCAGCGCGTTAACCCACAGGACCACCACCGTTGCCTTGCCTTATGAGATGTTTATAGATATATTAATTTATTTCGTTTCTATGTACAGGTCGCAGGTACAGGTACAGGTCACAGGTGCAGGTACATGTCAAAATACAAAACAATATTCTGTCACACAAGTTTAACTGATTTTGTTAATAACAAATTGATGAAAAAACATTGTGTTGAGTAGAAAATAAAGCATTGTATGCACCACGGGGATTTCAAGATTATAATGCCCTTCAGGCGAAATATATCCCTCGGGCCATAGGCCCTCGGGCTAGTTTCGCCTTCGGGCCTTGGTACATAAATAGCTATATCGGCCTTTGGGCGTTGCCCTGTTTTACGAATTGAAGTTGCGTGTGGCAATAATCTGTCGATTTAAGAAAAATTCGGATCAAAAAGTCTCGTGATTACGATTTAATTCAAGTTTGAATTCCCCCTCAAAAACATGGGTCTCTCGAACGGCTGATTTTACCCAACAAGTCCATTCCAAGAAAGGCCCCATTTTCGAATCAACACCATTTCCGTGGAGCTTGATATTGAGCCTTTGAAGGGCTTCGTACCCTACTAGAATCAAGACCCCACAGGTCAATACGTGTGCTGCATCTTTGACGACGATTATAGTCCCTTTTCTGCTCGAATTCTGGGCTGGAATCTACTAGTTCCATGTGTGGCCCCTTACGTCCAGATATCGAGAGACGAGAATGGATGGTTTCCGGATATGCCTTATATTGGGACGGAGGCTTGTATAAGTTTCAATATCAACTCTTAACTTTCCTTTTTTTATTCCATAAAATAATTTTTACTATCTTTACAGTCTATTTACAAAGCTATGATAATTTTTTTATAAATGTACAAATTTATCCTTGACATTATGGCGAAGGAAAAAAAATTGGTTCTATCTTATTAATTTTATTATGTTGGCATAACTTCTAATCTTGCCTTAAATTTCATTAATTTTATAAATAAGTAATCTGAATAAGGGTCAAGGTAGGACAATAATATGTTCTGAATTTGAATTCTTAGATAATAGCTTGCGTCGAAAATTGATCAATTTTTAACCAGGGCTCTTATAACCTATATAGCGGAGGATTT